AATCGGGCCTCATCACTTCATTTTATTGCACACCATTGTTGAGGTGTCCATTGTCTATGTTCTTTAGCCCATCTAAGCCGATTTTTCTTTTGCAGTGGAGTTAATAGTGGCTTTTCTTTGGCCTATAAACAAGTTGTGCAACTTTAGGGTTTTTACTTCACTTCTCTTTATAAAAAAAATTACCTTGCAAGTGCTAAATCCCAGATTGTGGGCCTCTCTATGAGTTGTGGACCTCGAAATTCTCCTTCCAACAGCGTCACTCCACAGAGCACTTAATTGTAAATAATTGGCACGCCTGTTTTTCACGATTATTCTTCTTAATGCTCTTCGGTCGGCATTTGTGATATTACTTTTTTTCACATATCGTGGCTTAATATTAACTGAACCAGTTAACAATAACAATATTTCTCACACTGTACCGCGATAAGTCTAACAAAGTTGCAATTTCTGAGTTTGATTTCCCAGAATTAAAGAATTAAATTGTCAGTAACCGAATTTTCTCTCTAATAACATTTTCTCTACCCATTTTGAAAACATTAACTACCCAAAACTATTTCAAACGTGTTCTGACAGCTGTGATTAATAAAAAAAATTGTCACGGCTTTTATTTTTCACAGCCACCTATGCTTTATAATATAATAAAATAGGTTGATATGCTGTAATTGCAACATGTGTTATTTTTATGCTGCAAATTTGATTACGGAGTGATAAAGTTCTGTTTTCTACTATATATTATCAAAATATTCATTGTTAATATTTGAAACCTATAACACCCTGCTAAATTTTTATTATTTGTGTTTGATAAGAAAAAAAAACTAAGATTTCAATAGTTGGGCCAACTGAAGTCGGAAGGGGCTCGTAGTTGTTTGCAGACTATGTGTACAACGAATGTTGCGTGTGGAGTATGTCGCGCGACTTTTTCGTATTCTATTTTATTCTATACAAGCTTGGAGTCTTGTTTCAGCCACTATTACCAGAAATATCATTTTACACGTACATTTGCCCCTTAATTTTTCGTAATTTGTTGACTATACGACAAATTCTTATAGGAGTAAGTAATGAAGAATTTTATACCCAAGGTACAAAATTGTTTCCACTACTTTTTGCATAGAGTGAATGGTTTTCGAGATTTTCGGTCAAACGCGTTTATCACAATGGCGGCAAATGCTCAAGCCCTATCATGACTTGGATTTGAAGCAACAACCTAACCAAAAAATTTACTGTCGCACGAATTGTAGGATTTTCTTAAAGAAGGTGTTTTCAAAGTTGAGTCGTTGATTTGAACAGCTTAAAGAACAAAAAATCACCTATATAAAACTTGCATAATTTACATTATTAAAAATCATTAAAAAAAAATCATTATTAAGTTAAATGGATACCGTTTCTACAAAAACTGTTCAACTGTCCCCGTTTGTTCGATTAACGCAAAATTTGCCTCGGCAAATCCACGACTCTTCAGAAGCTTCGAAAATAAAATCCTGGTGTCCACGAGTTATTAAATCACGAGCAATTTCAGTGCGCAGATCTTCCAGAGTATTTACTGCTTCATCATGATGCACCAACTCTTTCGAATAGGCCCATAGAAAAAAATCGCAAAGCGTTTAATCTGGGAAGCGAGCAGGCCAAGAAATGGGTCCATTCCGCCCTATCCATCTATTCGGAAACTCATTATTTAGATCTTAATGAACTTTTCGTCTAAAATGTGGTGCAGCCCCATTATGTAGAAACCACAGATTCTGTCTCACATTTAGAGGACGATCCTCCAATAATTCTGGCAGATTGTGTCGAAGACAATATAATAAATTTCACCGGTCAGTCAAGGTGGAAAAAAGTAGGGTCCAAGAAGCATGCCATTTACCACGCCAGCCCAAACATTTAATGAAAACCCATGTTGAGAATGAGTTCGTTTTACAGCACGCGGATTTCCTACTGCCCAAACATGATTGTTGTGGAAATCGTGCACCCCATTTCGTGCAAATGTGGCCTCGTTTGTACACAAAATTAATTTCGTAAAATCTTCATTTCACTGGCAAAGTGTAACTCTTTTAGGATGATTTTCAGGTTGTAACGCTCGTACCCGTTGATAATGACAAAGATAATACTGATTTTGTCGTATCGTCTTCCACACTTTACTAAGAGAAACCCCAGCTTGAGCTGCCATGGCTCTAGCACCCATTAATGCGTCGTCTGCTATCATTTCTTAAATGTCTTCCACGACTTGTAACATTTCAGGTTGAGCAAATCTTCCAGCGTGAAGTCCTCGATGTTCTTTTAAATATAAGTCTAATAACTAAATGTACAAACATCCGTAGACCGGATGTTTAAAGGAAACCTCTCAGCGTACAGCACGCATAGTACGGCTTTATTTTGTTGCCACTCTTCGTTGGTTAGCATCATGTCCACTAGTTTATTGATTTCGAAAACGAGGGTCAATTTTTCGCACAAGATAATCACACAAAAGTAAGTGTTCGCACTATTGAAAGACTCGTACAAGCATCGAACTGAAGACTCGTACTGGAAACTATATATACTAAGTGACATATAAATCCGAACACCCAGTTTAAATGGTTTTATGTTAATAAAATTTTGTATAAGTACTTAAAGAAGCATAGTAAGTAAATGATAAAAATTTCAAAATCATTGCACTGCTTTAAAGCCTTTTTTATATTCATACATTTCTATGTGGATGACATCCAAATTTATAAAGCATATAGACCAAATAACATAAATGCACTAATAATGAACCTCAATATGAATTTAAGGATTATAGAAAATTATTTAAGGAATTACTGCTTAAAACTTAACCCCTCCAAATCTAAAGTTTGTTGCCTTGGTTCTAGGTTGATTGTTTCAAAGTGTAAACAAACAATTAATACAGATATAGTTTTAAATGAAACCATTATTGAAATTATGGATGAAATTAAAAATTTAGGAATAATGTTAGACACAAATTTATGCTTGGAGGGCCATGTTCTAAGTAAACTTAAAGTATGTTATTTTAAATATAAATCTTTCTAGAGATTCAAGAATTTATTGCCAAGTGGTATTAAAGCAAGACTTGTTAATTCACTAATTCTAACACGCCTAGATTATGGAATTACAGTTTGTTATAATTTCCTGACAGAAGAAAGAGAGCATCAAATCCAAATCTTTCAAAATTGTTGTATGAGGTTTTGTCACAGCGATTTACACAGAGCACATTACTAGATATTATATCAGAGGAAATGTTTTAAAATTCCCAAATTGTTCATTGCTTTTTTATGCTACCTTGCATTATAAAATTCTAAAATATATACTAAGAGATATTAAAGTATAGCCTGGTTTATTTGAACGAGGTATTTGTATGACCTGATGAATATTTCACTTTTAGTTAGGATAAATGTATTTCTAAATATACTAAGTGACATATAAATCCGAACACCCAGTTTAAATGGTTTTATTTTAATAAAACTTTGTATAAGTACTTAATGAAGCATAATAAGTAAATGACAAAAATTTCAAAATGATTGCACTGCTTTAAAGCCCTTTGACCTTTAATAATGTGTGGATGCACCCTGATGTGCTACGCATTCTTCAACGCGCCTAGGCATGCTTCTGATCAGGTGGTCAATGTCCTCCTGTGGTATCTCATTCCAGGCATCCACCAACTCCTCTCGAAGTGCTTCTAGAGTCTGAGGAGGACGTTGCAAATTGAGCAATCTCCTACCCATCATATCCCACACGTGCTCAATTGGGGATAAGTCGGGAGATCTTGGTGGCCATGGTAACAATGTGACATCATTATGTTGAAAGAAGTCTATTGTGACTCTTGCAACATGTGGTCGGGCATTATCTTGTTGAAAAGTTGGATCTGCCAGGGTGTCAAGATAGGGTAAAAGATGGGGTTCTAGAACTTTGTGGATATAACGCTGCGCGTTCATGTTGCCTCTGAAGAAGATTAAAGGTGACCTGGAACCATAAGCTATAGCACCTCAAACCATAACTCCAACAGTGTGATGAACATGTCTTTCAACAAAAAACTGTGGATTAATCCTTTCACCACGTCGCCTTCTAACCCTGGCACGACCATCGTGCATGCCTAAACAAAATAGAGACTCGTCACTAAAGACAATACTGTTCCATTCCTGATCCCAGAGTGACCGTTGTCTGCACCACTCAAGGCGATTACGTCGGTGTTCTCGAGTTAAAGGGAGGACCCAGTGTGGCCGGTATGAAAACAAGCCAAAACTTCTCATTCGTCGGTAAACACTTCGCATGCCAATAGGTCTTCCGAGTTCTGCAAACCATTCATTTGCAATGGACCTGGTAGTGGAGAAACGGTCCCTTAAGGCCAATAATCTTAGGCGGCGATCTTCACGGTCTGTTGTTCTACGGCGGCGCCCAGTGCCCCTTGCTCTTTGCGTACGGCCTTCTCGAAGCCATGCCTGACAACACCTAACCACAGTATCTACACTTCTTTGCACTCTAATTGCATTTGCCCGAAAAGAAAGTCCAGCTTCCCGAAGTCCCACTATAAGGTCCCTATCAAACTCACTAAGTTGACGAAATCGTACAGGTCTCTGTACTCTAGGCATCGTAACCGATCGTAAAGGATGTCAAGAACCAAAATCCGCCAACGTTGATTCTTTACTGCGGCTAAAATATTAATTTTTAGAGCGTTAGTGAATTAAAAAAAAAGCAGTATAAAAACCGGAATGTCCAACTGATAAGGCTGAACATTTTTTCACTTGTTATTTACAGTAAGATAAATACATACACCAACTTTTATTAAAATAAAACCATTTAAACTGGGTGTTCGGATTTATATGTCACTTAGTATAACACAAAACGTTTGCCAAATTTAGGTGAACGATAAAATTTTATTGAACAACGATCTGTGTAAGAACATTTTTAATTTTTGAAGTCTTCAATCTATTCCTACTGTTTAATTATGAAAGTTTTATATAGGTGATTTTCGGTACATCCAACTTCTACTGACGAGTTAAAACAAATGACCCAACTTTGAAAATTTCTCGGCCTAAACGTTAAACGCAGAATTCCTAAGCTGACGAACCGCAAACTTACAACACGAAAAAACAACAAAAACCCTTAAATGCACGAGATCACATCCGATCAACCGCATCACATTCACACGAGCACACGTCAACCGCGAACACGTGTCGTGCGTTACATCGAACAGTAGCAGGAGCGGAGCGTCCGTAACCGTCGCGACGACGTAGATGGACGTCGCATATCGGCGTCTCAGGATATGCCGCGACGCTCGCCGTCCACGCGAGACATTCAGTGTCCGAAGCAACAGTTTCTCTATCTGCTTACTGCCCGCCAGCGACGCGATGCTGGATGCTGTTGGGCTATTTTAGCATCCGTTGCCGGCGATGCTTGGCCACAGATACATATTTACTCACACAGGGTGACCCAACGCAAACGCAATTAAATAACAGATTTGCAGTGTTGGGCGATTAATTCGTAAAACTCCGACCTTCTATCAAAATCGTCTTCATTAGGTTCTTTCAAAATTCTTTCTACTGTTGAACGTGTAAATCCTGAAGAAGTAGCCAGTCGAAGAGTGATCACGGCGAATCTTAGATACAGATCCAGTTTCTTCAAATTGTCTTATCAGTTTAGACACATACTTATCGTTAATACTTTGTCTGTATGTAACGCATTTAACAACCGGACAGTAGCTCTTGCAATGTTTCCATTTTGTTATTTCTACCCTTTCTTAAAGTGAGTAAGTCAAGGGCTGACCCAGCGGGTGACAAGCCCTACTTTTTTCCCCTTTTTCCCCCGCATCTCGTCACATGCCAGTAGCCTGCTGGACCTCTTTCTGACCACGCATCCTATCCCTTACAACACTGCTCTCTTGTCTCCTCTGGGTAACTCAGACCACAGTGCTGTGGAGGTTAGGTTTCGGTCAGAACCCGCTGTGGCAGCAAAAACTCGTACAGACCGCAAAACTTGGCATTACGGACATGCCGACTGGGAGGGGATCAGATACTTCTTCTCTAGATTTCCTTGGAGAGATCTGTGTTTCACTGACGCGGATGCGTCGGCTGTCTGCTCTTCGATAACCGAAATTATCCACGTCGGAATGGAGGAACACATCCCTCACACAGTGAATTTGCTCATGTCAAAGTGATGGAGAAGTGCATAAATCTCGAGTTTCTGGACTACCTCGAACGTCGCAGCTTGATTAGCGACAGGCCTTGAGAATTTGCATGGGAGTCATGAAATCAACACCATGTCCAGCAATCTTAGCTGAAGCAAGGGAACCTCGTCTTGCATTACGAAGAAGATGCTTCGCAGAGAAGGCTGTTGTCAAATACAGAACCTATAAAAAATACTTGCTTAATAAGATATCACAATTAGTAACTACAGACTTGACTAACAAGTACTGGAAAAAAAATCCTCACCACTGCTAGCTGAAGCTTATTAACTATAATTATATTAATTACCCGTTATATGTTGGCCCTTATGAAGTTTTCCTTAATGAAACAACCATCACAATCTCTACATATACCGAATACTGTTATTACAATAGGTCTGTTCTATCTGCCGTATTGGAAGATCTCAATTGCCACACTGTCTTGTATACTGACGGCTCCAAAAGTGAGATGGGTACTGGGTGCGCGTTCTATGTCCCACAAAAAGATTATTGCAAGGGATACAGGATTCCTGACCTGTGCTCCATATTTACAGCAGAAGGCGATTTTCTGGTGCCTTTCGCAAAATATTAATCACGCAACAATTATTACAGATTCGAGATCTTAGAAGCAATTAAACAAAATCCTGTTAGATCCTATGATAATTTTTTATTATGCAAAATCAGAAACTTCCTCGTCGCTTATCAAGCCAAAAGAGCAAAGATAAATTTTGTTTGGGTAAAAGGGCATGCTGGCATCACAGGCAACGAGACGGTTGATAAAGCTGCAAAAAATGCAATTCACTCCAGTACGATTACCCATGTGCCACTTTTTTTTGATTTATTCATAGAGATCAGAGGTAACATCAAGAAAAGATGGGATTTGATCTGGTCCAACTTTGTAGTAAACTCTCGAAATCATTATGCTCTTATTCACCCGACCCTTCCCAATATAATTCCCCACATAGATCTCTTCTATATGAATAGAAGATTCTCCACAATTATAACGAGATTGAGATTGGGTCATGATTGCTTTCCTGCTCATCTTCATCGAATAGGTGTAATAGAGTCCCGAAATTGTACTTGTGATGAATCTTCTATAGCCGATCTAAATCACATATTTTTTGCTTGTAATCTTTACACCAATATCTCCAACCAATTTATCGCTCAGATGATTAAACTTGGCTTCCAACTACCTTTAAGTCTGACTACCATTTTATCCTTTCCGAATATAAAAATTTATTTAGCGCTAACTCAATTCCTTAAAAAGGCAAATACTACTATATAAAATAAACCTTGTCTGGAATTCGTAACTATTCAGTTATATTCACTCCTTTTCTTTCTTTCTTACCGTCTCTCACAATGATCAGATAATATAAATCCATTGACAACATTTGTGGCAAATGGACTCCAGTTTCCAATGCCAATATTTTGACACACACACACACAACAATTTGAAATGACAAAGTTTTTCTATGGCATCCGATGACACTGACTGATGCTAAATGTTCTTCCTGCTTTCCATGATTATTAATTGCCGTGTCGTGCATTCCATTATTATCAGTATTAAGTTAGCCGAATTTTATTACACACCCAAATAGCTTCACAGAGATTGAAGATACGTATACACTTATTATACACAAGCTAATGAAAACTTCATGGAAAATCTGAAAAATAAAGTGGGGGTTTTATTTGATAATCTGAAGCGTATCGCAGTATCTTATTTTTAGATCACCCTGCATTGTACGGCTATAGATGAAAATACGTCACCCTAGAAATCAAAATTGACTTGTCCGAGCGTTTTTCACAAAATATACCAGGAGAGTTACAAATGGGGTTGGGCTACAGTCTATACGGGGAGGTCTGTAATGTATGCGCTAAACGAAAATTCTAGCTACATTAATATGGTTCTCAACATGCAAGCGGCTTCAGAGGTGCTTATTTTTTTCTCTCGTGTAAGTTGCGGGACCCTTTTCTATCCTATACACTATTCAAAAGGTACAATCAAAGACAAACATGGAATGGATTTTGCTGATGAGTAGGCAAAAGGTACGAAACAGATATCCAGTTGGCTGTCTTTGGTCGGACAAACGGAAGCAGTTTGTTTGGTATTCAGTTGCGATATCTACAAAGCAACCAGAATTGTTAGCCATCCGACGGTCACACTGGTGACTGTGGACCATTGCGGACTGAGATCTTCACAGACTCAAACAGTAGTTGCTATTCTGTTTGAAGTCCTGGTAATAGTGTTGTGCTGCCTATCTCGATAGACCGAATCTCCTGGATAGCTGATAGTTGCTATGCTTCGGTTCGTTGTATATATAATCCAGGACTATTAGACCAAAATAAGGCCAATCTGCTGAAAATATCCCACCTGGCTGAATTGTTTACCAGTGCTTCTTTCCAACATTATAAATCATTCGTCAAAAGTCCCCATGAATCCAAGTGGAGCTTTTTTATGCGGGGTCAAAGATCACAAAAAACACTATTTTGAATATATCTTCGAAAATGTCAAATCTACGATAAAATGGGATATTATCTTTTTTGTTCAGTACAAAAAAGGTTGAATGCATTTTCTTCGTAGAGATTGCCAATTTACAGAAAATTGCGTGAAAGTGTTGTAATTGACAAAGATCAATTCACGTCAAACCGTATTTTGAAATCGTTTTCTTTTTGAATGTTTGTGGTAGGGACTCTATAGGTGTCCCTTCTTGTGACCTATAGCACAGCTGACCCTTTTTTTCTTTGTTAGAATGTACGTCACTGTATACCTGACTGTGGGGCACTGACGCCATTTGACCAGTCTTCAAACCAGTATTCTGCTATTCTCAGTTGTATACAGACGCGTCGGATAAGACGAAGAGATGAGACAGTTTTTACGTGATATGTTGAATCCAGCTTCTCGACCGCTAGCCCTCCTCGGCGAAGAATGCGTTCTATCGAGATGTTACATATTATGATGCTATTTTAGATTGTTATGGTTATTTACGAAATTATTTTGGTTGGAGCGTTACGGTTGTCTTCAACGGTTATAACAATCAACGTAATAACACAAAAGCAATGTAACAACAACATCTACCGAAATTATGTTTGATTTATCAATGGCTCTGACAACAACTCAAGAGGAATTTCTCGCCAATGTCAACAACAAACAGCGATTTATAACAATGTTGTCTGGAAAACTGAAGCAGATTCATATAAATGTCGTGCAAGCAGAGGATGATGTTGATCTTTTCATTATCAATACTGCAATTAAATTGACGAATGAAAATCTAAGTATAATTGTTGGGAATGATGTAGATTTATCAGCCTTACTGACAGCTCTTGTTCCTGCGAATAAAGATATTTATTTTATGAAGCCTGGAACATCAAACATCGACACAACTATATATTCTCCAAAAAGTTTCGATGCTCACGTCACCGTTGATCCACACATTTTATTTTTGCGTGCTTTGACTTGATGTGTCACAACGGCAAAACAAAGGCCATTTAAATTTTTCAAAAGAGAGCTGACATCAGAGATTCAGCAAAAGTATCCAATGAGGAAGGACGTTCTCCAGATACTATTTTCACAAATGGTATCAAATCATTATTAACGATATGTGGTTGCTCTACCGCGCGAAGAGTCTCTTGACCATCACCGATATAGCTGCTTCGCGAAATAGACAAGGTATAATAAAGCTGTCAAGCTTTCAATGTTGCCACAAACATCGAGTACAGCTCAAGCACATTTATGTCGTGTGTATTATCAAGTTCAGAAATGGCTTGGAAATAATTTGAATTCATTGGAGTGGAGATGAACTATGACAGACGAATATTTACAGCCAATACAAACTCTGTTGCTACCTGCTCCTGCTGTCTTATTAAACACAATCTTTTGTAATTATACGAAAGGTTGTTAAGCCAATTGCGGATGTAGAAAACTTGACCTACACTGTTCCGCCATTTGCGGCTACTGTTATGGACAGTCATGTGTGAATATGATCTCTAACAATGGCTTGGAAATAATCTGAATTCATTGGATTGAGATGAACTATGACAGACGAATATTTACAGCCAATACAAACTCTATTGCTACCTGCTCCTGGTGTCTTATTAAACACAATCTTTTGTGATTGTACGAAAGGTTGTGGAGCTAATTGCGGATGTAGGAAACTTCAGCTACACTGTTCCGCCATTT